ATACTGTTGGATATAATTTGGCTACCGTGTTTAATGTTTTAAAATGATGATGTTACAATGAACTAGCACAAGAGCCTAAGTTGAGGAAAGAAGGTATCCTTTTCTTTTAAAAATTCTTGTACGACCAACATTTATTTTAGGCTTTCTCCTCCAGCTGGTCTTGCAATTAGGACCATCTCCAAGGTTCACAAAGTACTCCTTCCATTTCTTCATCAGTCAGGTGATTCCCCCTGTAGTTGGGTCAGGATGCTGTGCTGGGAGGTGATGTACAGAGGGGAGAAAGTGTGTCCAATGCTACTGAGGGGCCACCAACGTTTGGAAGCCCCAATTTGGAGGATTTCATGACATGCTTCCGGAAAAATCCAAGTTTGTCAGGCCTGCCCCTTACAGCAATGTTCTGTCCTACGCCGCCCCAGGCCAGACCAAACCAAATGACCTCCCAACTGCCAGTTGAATTTGTTTAAAAGAATGACTCTAAGCTGGGTGTAGTGGCACACTCTGGGAGACAGAGGCAGGAGGAACTGCAAATTAATTTTTAAGCCATAGTTTGTAATCTCTTCGAGCACATTTTCATGTGCCAGACACTGCACGAGGTACTGAGGATACAAAAGTCAAAACACTGTATTTCTCAGAGAGATGCTGTTGGGGGGTGAGAGACAAGCCCTCGAGTAGGACCAGCACCCAGCTCAGCAGCTGAGGCACAGTAGGAATGAAAGCACACTTGGTAAATGAGTTGGCGATAGTGTGCTGCAAGGTGAGGAGAAGCATGAGATTAAAAGTGCAAGGTGCTGTTCAGAAAGAGAAGAGGGCATTTGGCCAAGAACCTCAGGAGAAGAAAAGAGACTGAAAGACTGTGTGCAATGACTGACCTCATGGCAAGGTAGGGGAAAGTGTGTGGCCCTTTTGGCAAGAGTGTAGTATCCTTTGTGTTGTATTTGGGTCACGTTTAAAAATATGCTGGAGTGGTAATGCATGCCTGCAATCTCAGCACTGAGGAGGCTAAAACAAGAGGATAATAATTTTCAGGCCGACTTGGGCTATATAGTGAGTTCGAAGCCTCCTGCAAAGGCTGTCCCTTTGAGACAGCAAGAACCTGTCTCAAAAATTAAAAAAAAAAAAAATGCAGATCATAGTCTACTAAAGGTTTCAATCCACAGTGTGAAAATTCTGTATTAAGGAGGAGTTTTGGTTTCTCTTTTACGAGAAACCCAACATATAAGTAAAGAACAAAATAAAAGATAGAGAAAGGAAGTAGAGAGATTTTTTTTTCAAATAGGAAGGGGAATAAGAGATGGAAGGAGGAGAGAAAGAGGGACAAAGGATAAAAAAGAGAATGAATCAAAGAAAAAATGGAAATAGAGCTTTTTCAAGTGGGAAGGGGATTAAGAGTCGGCGGAGGAACAAGGAGGGATGGAAGTGGAAGAGGACAAAAAAAAAGAATTAAGATGTGTTATGTACATGTACAAATTCATCGCAATAAATGTAGTCATTACATACTGCAAATGTGTACTAATAAAAATACATTAATAATAAGTATTCAAAAGAAAAAAATAAAACAGGAGTTTCTCAGCTGAGTGCAGTGGCTCATGCCTGTACTGCCAGCAGTCTGGAGGCTGAAGCAGGCGAATTAAAAATTTGAGCCTACTCTGGGCAACTTAGTGACTTAGCAAAACTCTATCTCAAGGGCCGGGGATTTAGCTCAGCTGTTCGGTGGCCTGCATTGTGAGCTCAAAGACCCGAGTTCAATCCCTGGTACCAAAAGAAAAAAAAAAAAAAAAACCTATATCTCAAAACTAAAAGTAAAAATAATATGAGGCCTGGGGATGTAGCTTAGTAAGAAGGCTCTTAGTTCCTTGGTTCAATCCCCAGTACCTGGCCAAAGGTGCTCTTCTTTTATTAGCTGTTGTCCTTACAGTAAAAGACTAAACAACAGAATTAAATATGTGCTCAGGAGCACTTAACCTTCCATCACTGAACACAATCCCTTTCCATTCCATCTCAATATTATTCCTTTTTTTTTTGGTACCAGGGATCGAACTTGGGACCTTACACTTGCAATATTATTCTTAACAGTCACGATCCACCTTCTATATTTGTATCTAAGGCTGCTCTGACAAATGACCACGAACTTGATGGCCTAAAATAAGTTTTTTCTCTCAAGGTTCTGCAGGCCCAAAGTCTGACATCAGTTTCACGGCTGAAATCAAAGTGGCAGCATGACAAAACTCTACCCAAGAGTTTAGAGGAAAATTCACTCCTCTTCTCCTTTTCCAGCCTCCAGGGGCACTGGAAATCTTTGATTTGTGACTACATCATCGCAATCTCTATTTGTCTGGTCACATTGTCTTCTTTTCTGTCTGTTGAAATATTTTCTCTTATAAGGATGAAAACATGATTGCTTTCAGGGGCCTACTTTGATGATGACAGATAATGTTCCCTCTTAAGAGCCTTAATCTCATCTGAAAAATCCTTTTTTGTGAGGTAACAGTCATAGGTTCTAGAGATATCTTTGGGAAGGGGGAGCCACTATTCAGCCTGCTACATCTCTGAGTCTCCAGGACATGCCTGGTGAATATTGTGTAGATTTTTACCTTGCTGTAAGACATCACCATAGACTGGATAGTTTGTTTTGAAAGAAAGCAAGATGGAGAGAGAAGGAGAAAGGAAATTTTGGCTTACAGTCCTGGAGATCAAGGGATTGCATCTTTTAATGTTCATTCTGCGCTCAAACTCGTCCCCTGGGTCTAGGCCTGAGCTTTAAAGTACCACTCAGAAGACCGGAAGACCAGCCCTGTCCCTCCACCCTCCCCAGCCTGTAGCAGTTTTTCTATATTAGGATCTTGAGAATGTATGTTCCACATTTATTGTACAGTCGCCCAGGACATTGCCAAAGATGAAAGGACACCATCCTGTGCTAGACACTAGAAATTCCAGTCTACTTTACCTATCAGCTGTTCCCAACAACCTCTAAATAAAGAGAAAAATGGAACATCCTCTGGACCATCCTAACTGCTTACCCTTTTGTGATCTTTGTCCTTCAAAGATCCCTTGGAGAGGTGCTGAGGTTAGAGGAGAGGGACCACGTGGCTTATCTCATCCTCCCTAGGATCGGCGAGGCCTCCAAGTCCAAGAGATTCCTGATTTCTTCAGTGCTCACGACTTTGACGTTCTTGTACACTGACCATTAAATCTCGTGTAGCTCGGTGAGAGTCAATTCTAGCAGGCATTTGGTTCCCCGTGACAGACCTCTCTGCACAGAGCCACACTGTCTCAGATCCTCACGTTCTCCAAGACCTGATCTTCTCAACTAGTGTGGGCTCCTAGGAAGAACAAGACCCTGGGTTCAAGTGTGCAAGAATGCATCCTACTCAAAGAAGTGAACATTTGTTGTTCTGTTTGCAGTTCCAGGAGGCCTATTACTTGTCCCTGTCTGACTAACAAGCCTAATTACCTGAGCACATAAACTCCTTCTCTATGAATACATTGGCAGTTCTCAAGAGGCCCCAGGCAACCACGAAAGCTATGCAAAAGTACTGAAAATCATGAAGCAATTAATTGTAAAAAAATTATAATAATGTAGTGATTCCATAAGGCCAATGTCCTAAAGCTCAGACTATGTCACTTATTCTGAGGTGAGTGTATCCACATCCGTTCCAGAAGGGAGGGATTTTTTTCTTTGTTCTGTCTTAATCAATGATTTCCAGTTCCATTCCTAAGCCTCCGAATTCTGACTGTTCAACTCCACCAACCAGTTTCTCCTGCAGAGTCCAGTGTTGGATCTGTGTCTGGCACCTAAGAATCCAACACCAGCTCTGTCCTCGAATTTCATCTTTGGGTCTCTGGACTCAACCTCAATGTTTGGACTTTTACAAGCAAAAAGATATGTTCCCAAAGAAGGAAGCCGATAAAAGATCCATGCTTACATCTTCCATTCCTTTCCCATTCCCTGAACTTACAGGGCCTTTCTCGGTGGTAATATCAGTCTATTTAATCAACTTCCCGAAGCCTTAAATTCATCAGAGAAAAATTCCTTCAAGTGCTTTGCTGTGTCCACTTTCTTTGATTAGTGACCTACAGAAATCTGTGTGGCTGACAGACAGAGTGAGCAACAAACTCCAGCCACACAGCCAAACAAGCATTCTTCATCTACCTCTCGGTCCCGCTGGAAAAAAATGTTGATTTGTATTTTATTAGTTAGTGTGGTTTTCATTCAGAAAGATTGGTCCTTCTGAGGAGTAGACTTTCAACCAAATGAAAATAGAACTTTCCCATCTCAGGAATCCAGGTTACAAGTCAACCACAGCATATGTTACTCTGGGGAAGGGAGTCGTCTCAGCACATGGTTGGTCTGCTTTTTCCCTACCACTCCAACATCATTGCAGCCCCTTTAGAGAATACAGCAGTCCTCCCTTATCTGCAGGGAGTATGCTCCTGGATCGCCATGGGGCCTGAAACCACAGATAGCACCCAATGGGGTATCTACTGTTTTGTCCTATACATGCATACCTGTGATAAAGATTACTTTATAAATTAGTCACAGTAAAAGGTTAACAACAATAACTAATGCCAGAATGAAATGGTTATAACAATATGCTATAACAATTGTTATCTTAAATGTATAAATTATTTATGAATTTTTTGAGATATTGGGTATTGAACTCAGGGCCTTGGCACTGAGCTATATCCACAGCTTTTTTTTTTTTCTTTTTTCTTTTTTAAAATTTGGAGACCAGGTCTCACTAAGTTGCTAAGTTGCTCAGCCTACGATTGAATTCAGGATCCTCCTGTCTCAGCTTCTGGTATTACAGGCCTGCAACACCAAGTCCAGCTTTATTTCCAGAACTTTTCCTTCAGTATTTTTGAAGAGTGGTTAGCTAAAAGTAATTGAGACTGTGGATAAGGGGGAGGAGGGGGCGGGTGTATGTAAATGTTAAACATACTGTCTGTGCTGGCTGCCCAACCTTTAAACACCTTGGGGAACCTCAAGAAGAGGCTGTCTTGTGCTTGCTTTGGAAGCACATATACTAAAATTGGAATGGTACAGAGAAGATTAGCAGGGCCCCTGCACGAAGATGACATGCAAATTTGTGAAGCAGTCCATATTTTTAAAAGAATCATATCACAGTGATATGTGTGCACCCATGCTTATAGCAGCACAGTTTGTAATAGCTAAAACTTGGAAACAGCCATCAATTGGAGACTGGATAAAGAAGATGTGGTTTTTCTATAAAATGGAATACTACTCAGCCATAAGAATGAGAAGCTAGAGTCATTCATAGGAAAATGGATGCATATTGAGGCCATACTCTTAAGTGGAATAAATAGGACACACATGTGTAAATACCAAATAGTATCTCTAGTGTGAAAAAGGAAAAGTGTAAATAAGATCCAAATTGTATAACTGATAATGTGAAATAGGAAGAAAGGGGCTAAAGGTATAGGGGCAGTGGGAAGGGTAGGGGAAAGGGAAAAAGGGGAAAGAAAAAATATGAGAAAAGGAAAAAAATGGAAACAAAGTCTTTGTAAATAGGGGAGGGAGGAGGGGGTGAAGGGAGGGCAGAGGTATTGGGAAAAAATGTGAACCAAGACCTATCATGTAAAGGTACAAGATCTCAATGATGAATGTAACTGCACTGTATACCTAAAAAGTACCAATAAACTCAATGAAAAAAAGAAGAAGAAGAGTTTGTCTTAAATCTGAAGAGGCTGTATCCAGTCTGGGAAAAGCTACAGAGGACCTTAGAAAAAGCGCCATGGAATCCCAGATAAGCCAGGATAAATATAGGGTAAATGAGAGGAGAGACCTGAAGATGTCTCAACACAGAAGTGGATATGTTTACTTCAAAACAAATGTGAGGATCTGGGGGAGCAGCACAGGGGTAGAGCACTGGCCTAGCATGCTTGAAGCCCTGGAGTCCAACCTCAACGCCCCCATTGTGTATAATTTCTCTTACAAATAAAGTTTATTTTGCTTTACACTCCAAATATGGAAATAATTCATGTATATCGTAGGAGACGTTAGGGAAGCAAAAATAGAAAGTAGGGGAAAAATCCCCTGTCATTCTACCTGCCACTAATGGCCTGAACTGAATGTTTGGTGTGTTCCTAGTACCCTTTCTATAGAAATCTTATCATGGTTATGATCATCCTAGTGTATTGCTAGCTAAAACTCTGCTAATGGTAGAAACATTATATATAGATATATATCAATTGATAGATAATCTCCTCAGTCTAAATATAGGGCAGTAAGCTCTATCCTTTGGTTGAAAAGTAGCATTTTCCAAACTCTCCTTTGGAGTACACATTTCTCCATTTGTCGACAGCTTCTATAGGTGTAGTATAAAAAGAGATTTTCTTGTTCAGGTAACTTTGGAAAACACTAAGTTAAAGTTAAGCATGTTTCTGGGCTAGGGATTTATCTCAGTGGTTCTGCCACCTACCTTGCAAGCTGAAGGACCCGAGTTCGATCCCTGCTACCAAAAAGAAGAGGAAGAAGGTTCTTTATTGCATGAATGTTCAATTTTCAGTACTGTTTTTTGCAGTGCATGGCAATCAAAGCCAGGGTCTTATACATGCTAGGTAAGGACTCTACTGCTGAGCAAAACCCCCAGTCCCAAGCTTTTAGCAAACTAGTCTGCAGTTTACTCTCAAAGATATGTCCAACCCCAAAGCCCCATTGTAATGCATGTTTCCCAGGACTGATGCTCTACTATGTGCAGCCTGACCCAGAAAGCTCAGAACTTTCTATTATATTCCTTCCTCTTCCTCCCCACTTCATTATTGAAGAACGCAATTCTGAGTTGAGAGGAGGAAAAGAAATATATTTTAGATGCATAAAAGCAAGGTTTGAAAAAGAACAGAAAGAGATCTTGGGAGTAATTTTCCTTTGCTGATGTTTACCTGTAAGAACATGTTTGAGGATCTGAGGAACAAATATCACAAATTCACACCCAACAAAACTGCCAAAATACAGCAATGCTGAATTAAAGGGAGCAATCTTGTCTTGGGAAATGTTGCTGCGTAACTTAGGGAGAAAATCCAATTCATTTACTAGAACATTGACTTGCCAAACCAAAGGCCATTAGCTTAATGTTACTCAATATCATTTTACTAATCTCCTCTCCCCTCAAAAGATAGCTTCATATGACAAAAATGTAATTGGTACAAGCAAGGACAAATGATGATAGAACACAAGAAATATCATTGAAAACACTGAGAATGTTCTCAGTGTAACAGAGCACTCCCAGAAGAAATCTTGTTCTTGCTTGCATTAGTCGGCTCTGTGTTATTATAATAAATATATGAGATAAATAAATTTAAGAAGAGAAAATGTTGATTTGGGCTCATAGCTTCAGTCCATGCTCAGTTGGCCATGTTGCTTTGGGGCCTGTGGCAAATGCAGAATATCTTGGTGGGAACATGAGACAGAGGAAACCGCTCACCTCATCGTGTCCAGGAAGTAAAAGAAAGAAAGAGAAAAGGCCCTGGGTCCAAAAATTCCCTCCTTCAAGGGCACATTTCCCATGACTAACTTCCTTCCGCTAGGCCTCGTTTCCCCATATTGTCACAGAAGAATGAGACTTTACTATCTTTGGAAGACATTCAAGATCCAAACTATAACACTGTTCCATCACTTTCCCAAATGACCTGATGTCTGGTCAATCTCCAAGTGAAGTCTGCTTCAGAATTATTTTTTCATTGTTTATTGGTACCTTTAAAGTGTACAGTACAGTTACATTCATCATTGGGAACTCATATCTTTATGTGACAGATCTTGGTTCACATTTTTCCCCCATACCCCTGCCCTCCTTTCACCCCCTCCACCCTCCCCTATTTACAAAGACTTTATTTCCATTTTTTCCTTTTTTCATATTTTGTCTTTTCCCTTATTTCCATTCCCCTACCCTTCCCACTTCCCCTATACCTTGAGCCCTTTTCTTCCTATTTCACATTATCAGTTATACAATTTGGATCTTATTTTCACTTTTGGTTTTTCACACCAGACAAACTATTCAGTATTTACATATGTGTGTCTTATTTATTTCACTTAAAGAGTATGGCCTCAATATGCATCCATTTTCCTGTGATGCCTCAGAATTTTGAATTTAGTCACATAGTAAGTAGGAAAACATGGTTCTTCTATTAAACTAACAAATGTGGAAGACAAACTCAGTTTGAACATATGCAAAAACTGAGAGAAACAGGAAGTTTGAAAATCTGAATGGGTGATGTCTCCTCATAAACTTCTTTTTCACCATTTTGGGGCAGCTCTGTAAACTTGCTTGTATGAGAACCCAGCCACAAGGTTCCACAATACTCCTGAGCCTGGTAGCTGTCATTTGTGGAATACACTAAATGTTTAGGAAAGTCTGGGAAATACCAAAGTTCAAAAGTATCTTCTTTCTGTGAAGGAGACTAGAAGATATTCTAGAGCAACTTCCTAATGTTTCAACTGAAGCTTTCTTCATGTTTCTGTTTGGTGAACTGCTCAGCACCTCCCATTACTGAGTTGCACCTTGAGAGGGAAATGGAACCTGAGAATGTCAAAGCTGAAGCGGACCCGAATGGTCAACTCCTCAAGCCCAACCCCCTCTGTTTACACATCTGAAAACAGGGAGCCTGCAACCCACCCAGGATCCTGAGAGTGAATGTGCTTCCCTCCCTTCTTCTATTTTTGTGCAGTTTTCCCATGGCATCCGGCCAGAGTATCTACACCAGTAATGTCTAGAGGATTTATGAGGCCAAATGATCCTTTGGATTTCTGCGCAGACCTAAACAGGAAATCCACACAAGGAAATGCCCTTTCTGTTTGCAGGCCAAATTCCCAGGATGCTTTCACCAGAGTGCCCTGGCTGGAACAAAACAAAATCCTGGTGCAACGAATGCCCTTAGATCCAAAGGCAGAGGTACCCTTTCACCCCCTCCTCGCCCAGTCCCCAGTTCAGGGGCCCTCTGATAATTTAACAAGGATGGCTTTCTTTTCTCAAACCTCAACTTACCGATAATGCTCCATCGCCTCAGATGCTGGATCGGGGTCAGTTATCACACCCCCATCCCATGGCCTCCAGGTAGGTGTCAGAGTTTTACTTCTCCTCTGTGCAAAGTCAGTTAAAGGAAAGCCTTTTGGGTTTTAGGCACCTCACTCTCACCTCCGCATTGCATTTAGCCCGGAGAGGATGCCTTCAGGCTGAATAAAGATGGGCGAGGGATGTACCTCAGAGGTAGAGCACTTACGTAAGCCAAGGGAGACCCTGGGTTCGATTCACAGCACTTCAAAAAATGCATTTCTCAACCAAGGCACAACCAGATAACACCGAGTCTTTCTGTGACACCATTACACCCTGTGACAGCCACCCAGTCTGACCCAGCTGCCTCAACTTCGCCTCACCCCCAACAGCCATTGTTTTGCCAAATCCCTTTTCTCCATTGAATCAATATATCTACCATTGCATCCAGCCAGTCCAGCCCACGTGGGCATTTCTAAATCTTTTCAGCTCTCCATGGAAGATTTGCAACATAAGCAAGGCACTGTTGCTCAGGGCTGGACAGGAAGGAAGCTTGAGCTCCTGGCTCAAGGAGCAGAACTGCTTAGCGGGTGACCCTTCGCTCCCTGCTCAAGGCATTCTCTAGGACTGACATGGAAAATAAATTCTATTCTCCTTGGTTTGTCCCCACCTCCCTTGGGAAAGAAGACACAGACTTCCACTGAGCCAAGCGTATTATCAGGGCTTGACTGTCTTTCAGGAATCACCAGATGTTAGGAAGAGGACAATGTGTCATTTCCTTCAACAAATAGTCTGGGCATCTATGCATTTCCTTTTGAGCCACCTCTTTAGTCAAATATGATGCAGTAACAGTGAGGGAAAAATCACCCTAGCTTCTGTTCTTATGGGGACTGAGGACCTTTTGTGGAGTGTTGGACCCTGAGTATTAAGCAAAGGATGTACACTAATATTGAGTTACACCCCCAGCCCCAAGAAAATATTTCTATTCTCTGTATGTATGAATGACATTGCAAGAAGACAGAATAGGCAGCATTTAAAATTAAGGATTTTGAAGCAAGATAATACAATAAGGGAAAAGAGCCAATAGCAAAGGAACACAGGG